TGGGGGGCAGGCAGGACTGGGGGCTTGGAGGGCTCCTGGAGGTTCCCCCTTCTCCTCAGGCTCCCCTTCAGTTGTGGTGGGAGCCTTAAGTGGGAGAAGAGCTGCAGTGAGGAGACATTTTCAGAACAAAGGAATCACCAGCTCTTGGTTCTCAGAGATCTTTAAATCCCCCCAGCCCGTGCCCATGGGCTGTTCAGAGCTGCACTTCAGAGCAGAGCATCTGCTGCAGGAGGGGTTGGATTAACTCACCTTTCATGGAATTTCTGCTCTCCACCCAGCAGATAGCAATCACCTGGCTTTTTTTTTTTTTTTTTTTTTTTTCAAGAAGAAGGTGCCTGTGCAGGTGTATGTGCTCCTTCCCCAAGGAAGATAAATCTGTCAGGCTGTTCAGCTGCTCTTCTCTTTATTTTTTCCACTTTCAGCACTTTAAAGCAAATAATTGCAGAGGGCAGAAATATGCAGCTCTGAGCCCTCCCCTGCCTGGAGCCAGCCCGCACTCGGGGCTCGTGCTGACACGGGGTGAGGTGCAGCCCTAATCCCCCCCTGACATCCCCGTGCCCCCCCTGCTCCCATCAGATGGATTTAGTGCAGCTGAGTGAACTGTCCTCAGATGTGCCTGGCAGAGGCAGAGCAGGAGGGAAGAGGCACGTGGTTCCCAGCAGATCAGTCGTGTCCCCCTCCGTTTGCTGCTCCCGGTTCTGTTAGAACTTGCTCAGCTCTGGGGATCTGCTCTGACTGGATGTCACCTCAGGGAATAAAGTCATTTATCTAGATTACTTTTTCCTCTTCTTCCTTGGCTTTTAATTCCACACCTACAGGCAAGTCAGTAAGTCATTGCTCACGTGCATTAGCTGGCTGTGAGGGGGGTTGGCCTTGGGGGGCTCTGCCATGGCCCTGTCCCCTCAGCCCTCACAGTGCAGCCCTTCCTGTGCCACAGGACGGGCTCTTGGGCTGATCTGACCTCAAGTGCTGGTTGTTTGCAAAGCTGAAGGGGAAGGTTCTGTAAATCAGGGGCAGTCCTGGACTGGGAGGTGGGTGGGAATGCTGCCCCCAGCCCCCTTCCCAGCCTGGCCCCGTGGCTGCTCTCTCTGCCCTGCTGGGGTGGCCTCTGCTCGAGTCCTGAGGGCACTTTGGGTGCCAGAGTATCAGGAGGGTGTAAAGGCAGTTGAGTGTCCAAAGGATGGACACAGGATGGGGAAGGGACTGGAGGGGCTGTACAAGGAGTGTCTGAGGCCAATCAACTGGCTTGTTGAGGTGGGGAAGAGGAGACTGAGGTCAGATCTCACTGGGTCTGCAGCTCCTCCCGAGGGGTCTGCAGGGGCAGCTCCAATCTCTGCTCTGGGTGAGCAGGGACAGGACCAGGGAAGGGCTGGAGCTGTGCCAGGGCAGGCTCAGGGTGGATCTCAGGGAAAGGTTCTTCCCCCAGAGGGTGGTTGGCACTGAACAGGCTCCCCAGGGCAGTGGGCACAGCCCCAAGGCTGCCAGAGCTCCAGGAGGGTTTGGATGATCCTCTGGGGCACAGGGGGGATTGTTGGGGTGTTTGTGCAGGGCCAAGGGTTGGACTGGATGGTCCCTGGGGGTCCCTCCCAGCTCAGGATATCCTGTGGCTCTGTGACCTGTGTTGTCCTGGCTGTGCAGGTGAACTGATCTGGTGCGTTCATTTTTTAACCAGACCAGTGTTTTGTGAGTGGGTCCATGACCAGCCAGGCTGGCAGAAGACAGACAGAGCTGTGGCTCTGCCCTCTGTGACACTCTGAAAAGTGTCCCATGAATTGCTGCCCACGGAGCCACTGATGGTCCCCCTGGCTGCTGTACTTTAGGGTTGGCAGGAAGGTGGTTTGTGCTGTTACACCCAGTTCAGGTGGTTGTGTAATAGCAGAGGCAACAGCATATGGGAGCTAAATATGAGCAAGCTCTGCTCCCAAAGGTCTGAGGTGTTTCCATAACTCCATCTGCTGATCTGCTATAAATACAGGAGAGCAGCTCTCCCTGCACACACAGCACTGGCTCTGAGTGCTCTGGAACCCACAGGGAGCTCTGGTCTGGCTGGATGTTACAGGAAAGCACAATTGCACCACTCCAGGACTGCTTCCTTCTTTCCCTGAGCTGGAGCACAGCTTTTCAGAAAGAAACTCGAATCCGAGATCTCTTAAAAATTCCAACTGATGGATGATATTTCTCAGAATTCAGCTGATTAGATGGCATGGTGAATGAATTCTTTGTCAAAAATGTGCATACAGTGCCTTTCCCTGCATTTACCAGTGGGGTTTGCTCTGTTGGAGCAGTGAACCCACCCTGTGCTCTCTGGAGGGATTCCTGAGCTGGTCAATGAACTTCCAGACTCTTTCACAGCTTTTGGCAGCTGCATCCCCCTCACACTGTTTATTGCTGCTCCTGCCCCTCTTTAATGTCCAGCTGCTCGTGTTTAGTGTCACATGTTTGGCCCTCCTTTGTACACTGAGTGTCCTGATGATGTTCTTTTCCGAGTGGAGGCCTTTGATCCATGGACACTCCCAGGGTTTCCCGTGTGGATCCAGAGGAGGCAGGTCCTGGCTGCAGCACAGGGCCCCTCACAGTGCTCTGGGTGCCTCACCCTGCCCTGGGTGCTGCTGGACACCTGATCTTTCCAGATCTGGTTCCTTCCCTGCCTGTTGGTTGCTCTTGGACCTTGCTGGCAGCACTCCCAGACCCAAGGGCTCTCTCCTCCTTGGAGCAGGAACCTGGATGAGCCAGGCAGTGTTCCAAAAAGCCCCCCTTGGCACCTCCAGGGTTTCCTGATTTGGTAACTTCTGTTTAGCATAAATAAAACTGAATCTGAGCTGTTTGTCTTTAATGTATCCTAACTGAGATGGGAACTCGTTTGGAAAGCTCATCCTGTAATATTATTGCCCAATTTCCTTTGAAGCAAATGCTCTCCCTGGACGTGCTGAAAGCCTGGGGTTGTTGGCAGGTTTTTGGGAGCTCTGCACTCCCAGCTGTCTTGCCATGGCCACCTCAGCATCTTCAAGGTGGGAAGCAGAGCACTGGCCTTGGCAAGTCTGAATTGCAGCTGGGGGCTTTAGCACGGGTTTTCCAAGGATGAAAAGGAGAGATTTGTTTGTGTTGGATCATGTGGGGTTTTTAACAGAACATGCTGAGTGTTGGAGGGTGGGTTGAACCTGTGAATGCCCCCAGGGGAAGGGGGCTCCTGCTCCTGCCCCAGCTGCCCCCAGCCTTTCTGATGGAATCCCAGAGTCACTGAGGTTGGAAAAGCCCTCTGAGATCATCGAGTCCAGCTGTTACCCCAGCCCTGCCAAGGCCACCACTGAACCCTGTCCCCCAGTGCCACATCCACACCTCAGTCCCTGGGCATTCCACAGTCCAAGCACTGTTAGATGGGGGTGACCTTTCATCTCTGCCAGGACCTGACCATCACCAGCATTCCCTTGCACGTTAAACCCAACTGAGTAACTCAGAGAACCTCAGCAAGTTCCTTTGAATCTGCTTGTTTCAGTGAATTTATTTTTGTGATCTAAAAGTAGCTCAGCAGTCGGCACTGAGGTCCTGGCCTTGCTGACACATCTCACAGCAATGGCAAGTTTTACATTTTCAGGCTTTTCTTAGCACAAAGCAGAAGTTCTCCCTGGCTCTGTCCCCTGCCTGCATCGCTGGGGACGCTGATGGTGGGTTAGGATTTATTTTCCCTGAGCTGTTTCTGAAGAGGTTTGTGTTGCCCTCCAGTGCAGCACTCAGGGGTTTAAATGTTTCAGTAGAGACTTGCCTGTTTATTGCCAGGAGTGACAGAGCTGGGAGTCTTGGAACCTGTCAGCTTCCTAGATCCTTGTACTGGATGTTTGCAGGGTGAATCCCCTGTATTGCCCCAGGGTGTTAAAGATCCAGGGTGTCAGTGCAGGTTGCAGAGGGGGCACAGGTTGGAGTTTCTAGGACACAGGAGCTGTTACAGTACAACACAAAGATCCTGAGAACCAACAGCCTCTGATTTCCAAATGTTCACAGTCCTCACTCTGTATTTTGGTGCAAAGCTGGGGAAGACTTCCCTGGAGTCCTTCCATGGGAAGACCAACCATCCCATGCACCAGGACTGAGGCAGTAACACGTTGTGTCTTCTGCTGGCAGCCTGAGTGTCTCCTCAGCCCTTCCTCCACCTCCCTGCTCCTGTGTCAGTGCCTGTGCTGGGGCAGAGGCAGGACTGTCCTTAAGGGATGTTCCTGGCAAAGGTTCTTCCCCCAGAGGGTGGTTGGCACTGAACAGGCTCCCCAGGGCAGTGGGCACAGCCCCAAGGCTGCCAGAGCTGCAGGAGGATTTGGATGATCCTCTGGGACACAGGGGGGGGTTGTTGGGGTGTCTGTGCAGGGCCAGGGGTTGGACTGGGTGGTCCTTGGGGGTCCCTCCCAGCTCAGGACAGTCCATGGCTCTGGGATTTCCTGGGGGGCTGCCTGGGGGGCTGCAGGGCACTAATGGGACCTGTTTGTTTGGTGTTCAGATGGATCCTGAGTATCGGGTGAAGAAGTTCTTGGCTCTTCTGAGAGAAGAAGGAACGTAAGTACTTTCAGTTTAAAGCATTGCTTGAAATTCTCTGTTCTGCTCAGAAATGAACATCTGTGAGGGGAACCTGCAGGTGCTGGGGTAGCTGCTCTCGTTTGTGGCCCCTCTGTGTTTTCAGAGCTGTGTCAGATCAGTTCTCACAGCGCTTTGGGAGGGGGAGGTGTGAAGGAGCTGAGAACTTGCACGTCTGAATCCTCTGCCTGTCTTAATTCACCCTTGATTTAAAGTTTCCATGAGACACCGGGCCACAGTTAACTGAAGTAAAATCAGAAGAGGTTAAAATCCTCAAGTTAAAATCCAGCTGCTTGTCTGAAATCTGAGACTTTGATTTCTTGTGTCTCCTGTCTGAGAGAAGGATGTCCTACTCTTTCCCCGTAGGTGCCACAGGGAGTAGTTGAGCCCAGTGGGACAGTGGCAGCTCCTAGAGAATGACTTTCTAATACATGTAGGGCAGTGCCTGTGCTGGGGCAGCTCACACCACTGTCTATCCTGGCTACATGTGAGTGGGTTCCAGTGTGTGCTTGATGCTTTTATACATGTGCATGATGCTTTCCTGATGGATTTGGCTTCTTTTGCAAGAGTCCCTACCCTAGACTGAAGGTGGACCAAGTGCAAGATCAACAGCCGGAAAAGCGACCAACCTGGAGAAAATGCACTGGGATCTTTACTCTTCTGTGCTCAACACACTGGACAAAGTGAAATGCTCCCCATTTCCCAGAGCCCCATGTGGAATCTGCATGTTTAGTGCAATACTGCAGTACCTTTATTCTTTGTCTTTAATATTCTGATGTCACGTGGAAGTGTCTCCTAGAACACTGTGCTTCTGTCTCTGTGCAGCCAGGCTGCATCCTTTGATTTGAGCATGGGGGAATGTCCTGGGAGTTTGAAGCCAGTGCTCACTTGTGTCCAGCATTCCTGCAGTGGGAAAGAGATCCTGACTCCTGATAAACCTGCCAGTCTGGTGGAGGGACACTGGAGCACTGCTCTGTCATATCCTGGTCAGGTGAAGGCTTTCTTGTGTCATCCCATCCCTCACTGAGCTCTGAGCCAGACCCACAGCCCACAGACAGTGCCCACAGCAGTCCAGCTCCAGGACTGCCTGGATGCTGCACCTGCTTTATTTATATCCAGGTATTTTGGGGCCCCCTGAGACACTGCCAGTGGCACTGGGAACTGGAAGAGGGCAGGGAAGTGTTGATCAGAATAGAGGAAATTTCCAAATCCAGTATTTAAGGCATCAGAAGCTTGTTAATTCAACAAGAGTTCTAGAGGTGCTGGTTCCAGCACCTCTCACAGAGCCTCCAACTCTTCCCGAGGTCGTGCAGGTGGCAGCTTTGGTGTCCTCCAGCCTCACATCCCATTTCCATGCCATGCTACCAAAGGTTGAAATTCCTCCTTGCACACAGAGAGGAGGCCAAGCTCTGCAGGTGCACGAGGTGTGCATTGCCATGTGTTTGCACTGAAACAAAGGAATGTACCAGCCCTCGCTCCATGTCCTTCCCAGCTGTCACCTGGCCTCGGGGAGTGCTGCTCGAGGCTCCCCCTGCTTCTGGGGCTCCACTCCTCCTGTAATGTTCATGGAACATACCTCAGCCTGGTGGGGCATGAAATCAAAGCCATTTGTCAGAAATTAGCCAGTGTAGCTTCCTAAGCTTGACCAGAGCCGCTGTCAGGGCTTGCAGTGGTTCCAGAGGGGTGTCCAGGGAAGGAGATGCTCCCCGTCCTTCCAGGCCCAAGGTGCAGGTACTGTTGTCCTCAGTGTGTGCTTGCAGCAGTGGGGGTGTTCCAGCCACCCCCCCCCTGTTCTCTGGCAGTGCTGTTGTGTTGTGATGCCCTCGTGAGTCCCAGTGCTGGTTATTCCCTCTCATTTCGTGTATGATCTTGTGGGTTTATTTGTTCCTCCCTCCCCTCTGCCAGTCCGGGTGACAGCAGCACACAGTTAACTTATCTTTCAGAGTAAATGCTGTAAACCTTATCATGTCTTTGTCCAGAACTATATTGATGAATAAATATCTGGTTTAATTGCACATTCAATGGGTTCAATAAAAAGCACAACTCCTTGTGATGCCCTGGGTGCCATCTGTGTCTGGTGGGGGTCGAGCTGAGGCGTGTGAGGAGCAGAGCTGTTCTCAGGGGGTGCCCAAAAGTGAATTTACCCCCAGCCTGGACAGTTTGACCCCCCCATGGTCTCAGAGGAATTGGCTGAGGGGTCTGTGGTCCAGCCCATTGTGGGCCCTGCAGAGCTGAGGAGCCCCCAGGGATGTCCCTCTGTGTGTGTGTGTGAGGTGGGTGTGTCACTCTTGGGGGAGTTCCTGTTGGAAAACCAGGGTGAGCTGCTGGGTGTGACATCCAGCCTATTCCAGGATCTCCATCAGAGCTGTTTCCTGCAGGTGGCACGAGGGAAGGGCTCCTGGGGTGCCCTTGCACATGTAAGATATAAACAGTATTGCTTTCTACAAGTCAGGGCCAAGGTCTCCATCCCCTTCCTTGCCCCGTTTCACCTTGAACCTTCCAGCCACGTCCCTGAAATGGAGCTGTTTAACCAGGGACAGATTATTTCCAGGTGCTGGGATGGTTTTGCGTGCAGGGAAAGAACACTGAGGGGTTTTATGTTTGCTTTTACCCCTCACACAGGGGTATTTGAGGCCAGTGCCGTGGAAAACCACGTGCACTTAAAAACATCATTAACACGGGGGAGACGCTACAGAAACACCCACGAGTTATTCCTGGGCAGGAGAAGATGTTTTAATGTGAGGAAATTCGGATCTTGGTCTGTCCAAACCGCTGGAAGGTGATTCAGTGACAGCCTGGGGGTTCATGGGGGAGTGTATGAAGTCCAAAACCTGTTTTCATCCATTAAGACTAATTTAATCTTCTCTCTCTCTGCAACTCCCTGACAGGAGGGGGGAGCTGGGGGGGGTTTGGGCTCTGCTCCCAGGGAACAGGGACAGGAGGAGAGGGAACGGCCTCCAGCTGGGCCAGGGGAGCTTTAAGTTGGATTTTAGGGAAAATTTCTTCATGGGAAGGGTTGTCCAGCCCTGGCACAGCTGCCCAGGGCAGGGGTGGAGTCCCCATCCCTGGGGGGATTTAAAGGACATGTGGATGTGGCAGTTGGGGACATGGTCAGTGGTGGCCTTGGCAGAGCTGGGGGAACGGTTGGACTTGATCCTAAAGGTCTTTTCCAGCCTCAGAGATTCCAAGGTTTTGTGCTGTGTTGTGCACACACCCAGTTCATGGCACTTCCCAAACCAAAAGCTCAGCGTTCAGCTGTAAAATCTCCTTTATTGGCTGCATTTTGCCATCATGGTCTTGCATTCGTAGCCCTGCCCATGGTGGGCTGTAAGAACCAGGTGGTCTTTAAGGTCCCTTCCAACCCAAACCACTCTGTGATTCCATAATTCCATGAGTGCCCCTGCCCATAAACAGCTGGAAAATGACCCCCCCACTTCAGCAGGAGCTGGAGGACCCAAACCACACAAGCTGGCAAGTGCATATTTTTGATTATTTTTTTTTTTTAACCTTCTCTTTAATGGTGTACCACAAAAGAAATGCAAGTTGAAATATATTTTTCTCCAAATATATATATTTATATAATATATAATCTTAGTTAACTCAAGTATATACATTGTATAATAAATAATGCTTATAAAAAGAGAAATTTTCTGAATATAAAATAAAAAAAAATCGACCTCTACAACTTTATACAAAACTTTGGATACAGCAGATTGATGGAAAAAGATCTTCCATTCAGTGCTAGAATACCTGGCTACAGTAAAATAATTACAAGGCAATAAATGTTCTATTTAATATTAAATACCTTTTCTTGATTAAAAAAAAAAACAAAACAAACAAAAAGGGGATTTTGTTTAAAGTCAGGTAGTGGGAGTCTTTCCAGACATGGAATTTAATATATACTTTAAATAGATGCATATCAGAGGACGGCTTGGCTCTGGGTGGGGAGGGGTTTTGAACTCTCTGGGATTTTATTTTTTGGAAGTGGAGGCTCCTCTGGCCCCGGGAGTGCAGGAGCTCCTCACACTGCCCAGGAAGGAGCTGGAATTTTGCCCTGGTTGTCCCCACACAGGTGGGACAAACCCCAGTTCTTCTGCACTGAGGTGGGGCCCCAATAAATCCCTGCGGATGGTTTGGAGCCTCTGGGGGGACTTCAGGGACAGCTGCTGATAGCTCAGCAAATCCTGGGGGAAGGGGAGGGTCTGCCTGGGCTTGTGCTGTGGGATCCAGGGCTCCCTTCCCTGCCTCCCTCACCTGTCCCTCGCTGGCTGCAGTGGCTGGATCGCTGTGTCTGCTGGGCAGGGCTGGGATGGACATTCCCTCTGTGTCCCCACAACTGCTGGAGCAGCAGCTCAGCTGGCAGGTGACCTGTCCCCAGAGGCACCCCTGAGCTCCCTCTGGGATAAGAAGGATCAGGGAATGTTTAGCCAACAGGTGCAGGGACTGGGCGAATCCCAGATCCCTGAGATGCCCTCCTGAGCTCTGGGGCCGTGCTGTGTCCCCTGTGACAGTGCCAGCAGTGCCAGCAGTGCCAGCAGTGCCCTGAGCCCTGCCCTCGTCCTGGAGGATCAGCTCTGGGCTCTGCCTTCCTGCCATCCTCCCCAGGGCACCGTGGGGAGCTGAGAGAGCAGAGGGAAGGAGAGACCACCCGTGGGCTCTGTGTGCCCGAACAGGTTTGGTTCTCCAGCCCCATCTCCGTGGGGCAGGCAGGAGGGAGCTGGGCTGGTTGTGAGGGTTTGCCTCCTTTGCTCGTCCTCAACACACCTGCCAAGCCCAGGCCAGCCCTGGCAGCAGCTGGGGGAGCTGTGTCTGCTCAGCTTGCACCGTGTAAAACCCATTCCCACCTGAGCCCTGCACCGGTGCCTGCACAGGCAGGACCTCTGGGCTAGGGCAGAGCTCAGGGTGTGCCGTGACAGCTCTGCCTGCTGTGGCCAGGCCTGGCTTTGGCTCCCCCTCCATCCCTGCCTGTCCCCAGGGAGCAGCAGCCGCAGATCCCACGAGCTGCAGCACCAGGCCAGCCCTACCCTGGGCGAGGGGCTGGGGCCACCAGCAGTTCTGTGCCGTCCTCTGCAGGGTGAGGCCCCTGCTCTGGGGCACCTCCTCGAGCAGACACCCCCCCTGGGCCCTACTTGCAGGTGTGGACGTCGTAGACGCGGGTGCACTCCTGGCAGCTGACGTAGCAGCACCAGTGGAAGATGCAGTGACACTTCTCCTTGCGCTTCTCAGTCCGGGTGTTGTGGCCGCGGCCGCAGCACAGCAGGTCGCAGCCGTCGATGCCGTGGGAGGTGACGTTGCAGGTCCTGTCCCTGGTGCCAAAGGAGCCCGTCTCGGGGTTGGGCTCGCAGAAGTTGGGCGAGTTCTCGTAGTACACCAGGTCCCGCTCCGTGGGCGGCTTGAAAAGCGCGTACTTGGCCCTGAGAGTTTCCACCCAGCCCCGGGATTCCCGGTGCTTTTCCACCACCATCTCCGAGGCGCTGTCGTATTTGTCCTTCAGGAAGTCCCCGATGGCGCGGAAATCGGGCTGGGCCCACCAGCAGGTCTTCACCTCGCAGCTCCCCGACAGCCCGTGGCACTTGCACTTGAGGTGCATGTGGTCCAGGATGGTCTGTGGGGATGGGAGAACAGGATCAGCAGCGGGGTTTGCTTTCCATCCCCTGCCTTTGCCACCTGGGCTCAAATGGCTGCCCTGAGCTCGGGCTGGGAAGTGTGGGCTGCTTGGGAATGAGTTTTGGTGGCCAGGAATGTCTCCAGGCAGGTGTCACACTAGGAAAGCATGAGGTGGGCAGTGCTCTAACCATCCACCCAACCTAATCTAATCTAATCTAATCTAATCTAATCTAATCTAATCTAATCCAATCTAATCCAATCTAATCCCAGGGTCAGGTCCTTTCACTGGGGTCCCCCTGCCCTGTGTGTGTGCACAGTCAGAGCTCAGAGAAGCGGAGGGTTGGATGGTGTCTCTGACCCCTGGGGATGGAGACTGATCCCTTGTCCTCTCTTTGCTGATGACCCTTCCTTCATGGCCCAAGTCTGAAAGTTTGCACTAGAACATAATGAAATCGTGAATCTCTGGGCATCAATCTCTTTCCCAGAAACCTCCTCTGTGTGGAGCAAAATAATCACTGATTTCTGCCAAAATTACTGGAGTTTGGTGGGGGTTTTTGTGCCTTCTACTCTTCCCCCTCTGCCTGCTGTGGTGTGGAAAAGCCATATCAGTGTTTGCTTCAAGCACTCTTGGAAAGGTCTGACTGAGTTTGCAAATGACCCAGACCACACTGACAACAGGAATGGAATGGAATGGAATGGAATAGAAACAAATAATAGATTAGACTAGACTAGAGTAGAATATTTGGGTTGGAAGGGACTGACAACCATCATCTACTCCAGGGAATCACTGGGACAGTGTTACAACAGGGAACATGTGGGAAGGAGGAGCTTGGGAGGAAACTCCTCTTGTTCCACTGCTGGGCTGGGGTCTGTCCTGGCTGAGTTGTGTTTACACAACGTCTGGCCTTGGAAGATGTTCTCAGGTTACCCAGAGAAGCTGTGGCTGCCCCATCCCTGGAAATGTCCCAGGCCAGGGGCTTGGATAGGGCTTGTAGCAGCCTGGGCTGGTGGAAGGTGCCCCTGGCCATAGCAGGGGGTGGCACTGGCTGGGCTTTGAGGTCCCTTCCCACCCCAAGCATGCCGTGACTCTGTGTGTGTGCTGCCAGCAAGGTGTGCGTGGATGGAGAGGAAACCTCTTGGGAGAGAGTGGAAATGCTGGGCCCTGGGAAACAACCTTAGGAAGCCTCAGCCTGGGAATTACACCAGGAGGAGCCCCCCCTGCCCGGACTCACCGTCCTGCCGGCCTCGTTGTTGTGCCTGTTCATGGCCGAGCGCGCGTCCGGCCGGTTCTCCCGCGCGTCCGCGAACTCCCGGGACACCAGCACCCCGAAATCGGCGTCCTCGCTGCACCCCCCCCACTTCCAGCCGTCCCCGGGGGGGCCCTTGTGGTGGGAGTCGCAGCCGCAGATGGTGGAGGTGCCCTCGGCGCAGGAGCGGGTGACGGCG